AATTACAAATACAATATTATAGCGTAAAACAGTAAGGTCTTTAGTTGAAGAAATATGAGTTGTAGCTTTGTATCGCAGCTTTACAATCATTCCTCGATTTGTTTTATTTGTTTAATTTGTTTAATTATTTGTTTTCTCATCTTTTCTTATCTTTCGAAACATAGAGACTTAATAAGGATTTATGTAAATTTCAATACTTAATTACCCTTTTCGCAATGAGCACCAATGAAGTCAGGAAGACAAATACATTTGTATGAATTGCCATCAACAAGACATGAGCCACCATTTTTGCATGAAGAATGATCACAAACACCGACTATAATAAAAAATTTATCTTAGAAGAGAAAGGCACTTTCATTGATACATTTCAACAAACATAACAATTAAGTTAGAACCCACGACTTTTTTTCGAAAATTTTCATTGATACTACTAGTGACAAAGAAAGTCAAAAAATTTTGAATTCGGACCATATAATTTCGATGATCAGTTTCCATATAAACATTGAAGTACTGGGAACGTAAAGAAAAGATCGCAGAAGATAAGTATGCTATTAAAGTTTATATAAACCTTATGTGGTTTTTACACTATCCAATGTAAGTGGTGTCAAAAGCCATATTCCAAATTTGTGATGTAATCGGACAAATATTTTGCGCTGTACAGTCCGTAAAAGTCCGTCATTTACTATTTTAAAAAGTAAATACTTTGTTTTAAATAAAGCCTACACGATTGTGTTCCTTACAGACCCTATTGGGAAAAAAATGTAAAGAGAATCTGGACTTTTAAACCGCAATTGCGGAGAAAGATTTGATCTCAATTCATTTTTTTTAAATTTGTAGTTTTCATGAACTGCTCTTTCAAACTATACTAAGATTCTATAAGTTTTATATGCGCTTTAGGCATTACTAAGAAAATTTCAAGGCGCTTTTACATCTTTGCAATCTCAAGCCAAGTACAAAACTTGACAACATCTTACATTCGCCTATATCTTATAATGTCATTACAACGTAAAATTTTGTACTTTGCTTGATATTGCGAAGATATAAAGCGCCTTAAAAAACTTCTTAGTGATACTTAATAGCAAATTTATCTTCTCTTTTCCTCGACTGTCATTTTATAAACATGTCAGAATATTTTCGTTACACATTATCAAACAAAAACTCTTACATGAACGAACCTTCACATGTTTTGCCTTTAAAACCATCAGCACAATCACAGGAGAATGTACCTCCCATGTTTGTACAAAGACCATTATTTTTTGCAAGGACTCGACTCGCACGGTTTAATCTCTGTAAAATGTTTATCGTATAAGGGAAAATAACACTCACTCCTAATATTTAATGTATAAACTACACACGCTTAGAATGACAATTTGAAGTACTGCCGACTACAAATAAATTTTAAAACTGTCTTCAAAAACACTGACCTTCACAAACCGTTCCGTTTCCTGTAAATCCTGCATCACAATTACAAGAAAACAATCCATGGCTGTTGATGCAAGTTGAATTTTGATGACAGTTATCCATTGAAAGAGAACATTCGTCGATATCTGATGATAATAAAAGTATTGCATTAGATTCATTTAAATATTAGGAATGGATGATTTTCAAAAGCATAATTTTTATAACGAACCTTCACAAACTGTTCCATTTCCAGAATAACCAACATTGCAACTACACGAAAACGATCCATTAGTGTTGACACAGGTAGAGTTTTGATGACAATTGTCGATTGATAAAGAGCATTCATCAATATCTGAAAATAACAGACATGTGCACAATAAATTGTATAATAAAATACAACGCTGCAGAAAGCTGACTTTAAAGCTCTTACCTTTACAAATAATTCCATTTCCCGAATAACCACTGTTACATTTACATGAAAATGATCCATTGTTATTGGTACAGATCGCTTTCGTGTGACAGTTATCGGTAGAAAGTGCACATTCGTCGATATCTGTGAAAAAATAAGAATATATAAAACTTAATATCATTTATCATTTATCGAGTATTGAATTTATGCGCAACAAAACGGTGAAATAGAAATCATGTGCCTAAAATTTCCCAGCATATGATTGGACATACGATTTTCTTCACCAGTGAAAAACGTTGTATCTGCATTCTGATTGGATATACGATTTTTTTATTAGTGGAAAAATGCTAATCAACTTTTGTTTAAATACGCCCATTTCTCTATAATTCGTCACCAGTAGCGAAGCCAGCTTCCATATTTACTCACGCTATGTAAATTCTGAAAGATTACCATTATTGATTTCTTCAGAAATGTATTGCTCTCACGGTCAGTGAACACAAAGATATTTGCATAGCGGGAGTAAAAAGTCGTCCTGGCTACGCTACTGTTCGTCAAATACTCCAAATAGTTTTACAAAATGCTATTGGAATTGTAAAATATCTAAGGTTTTCAAATGCTTTCCGTGTATACTTTTCCTTTTGATCATCGATGGAAGAAGTGAATTCATTTGCTACCAAATGCACCATTTTGTTCACCATCATTAAAAATAATCTACTTTGAGGTATTACTCGTCTGTGATTGGCTGATTGCAGTGCAGTTCATTAGTAATCGCGTGATTAAAATGTGTTATTGCTCTGTAGAAATGTGTACCTGCACTCAGTTCTTCGGTTCACGATATATTGTCGTAGTCTTTAAGCCTGGTTCACATATGACTGAGACATGACTGAGGACTTATTAAGGGCAAGCCTGAGATGCATTCTGATCTTGTGGCTGAGGCAGAACTGAGGCATGCCTGTGATGCTTTTTAATGACATAATTCAAATCGCCGATAGACCACAAAAACTTAGCGGCATTTTGAATTTGACAAAATAATGCTTCGTAATTTGAAAATAGCGTTACTATTAGCAAATTATGCGGCCCTTTTAACAGTCATTCCAAAATACATCAAAGACCCGAGAGCCGGTTTGAAAAAAAGAGAATAATTTGGATTTTACTCTGGACACGATTTATCATAAATAGCCCGATAGTTTCGTATTGTATCGATAAGTTTTATTTTATCGTAAAGTGATCTGAATTGTTCCACTGAGTCTTTTTTTGGTCCATGTCCTGTGTTGAAAATTCATCCGCCATCTTTTTACCCAAATGCGTGATGGGAAATATTTCCGCCAATCGATCGAAGAAGCGTTCACATATAACATAAATAACCAAAATATGTTCCGTACACGGCTGCTTAGCCACCGACATGCCAGGAAACTTAAACTCAACTCAACTCTTACGGTATTTCGGCGGCATACCCTAAGCAACTCCTACGACTGCCTTAAACACCATTAGTGTGTCAGCGATGAGTGTTTACATTTGCTTTAAGAGAAACGCAGGCATCGTCACAGGTATGCCTCAGTCAAGTCTCAGTCATATGTGAACCAGGCTTGACAAATATATCAACATTTTGAAAAATTTAGACCTTTTCTTATTGGAGGTATTTTAGCCTTAAATGATCAAAAGAACTTGCTAGCCAACAACCTCCTCAAAAAAGTATTGTGAATTTTAAATGAGCCCCATAATTCATTTTGAACTGCATTAGAATAGCCACTGTACACGTATAAAATATAACTGCATAATTAATTTACAGATTTAAAAGCTTTGAAAACGTCTTGAAGCTTTATTCTACTTCATTTTTATCAAAAAATTGTTTTAGTTTGCTCTTTTCCCCTTGTTGTTTTTACCCTTTTGCGAAGTAGAATTTAAGAGAAAACTCATTTTGAACGGTATCAAAATTGATTTTTATACTAGGCTTGTTTGAAAATGTACTAGAGCTCAAATATTACTTGTTTGCATACCTGTGCGTAATGCTTGCAGAGTTAATTACATAGAAATACATGCAATGTTTGCTCTTTAATGCAAAAAAGCAAACACTTTTTCTAGACTTTTCAATAAAACATGACTGCAAAAAAGAGAAAATTAATTGGCTTTAGTAGAAAATAGTGTTCCTCCAGATAGACTGTCAATTAACCGCTTGGAGTTTAATTCCCTCAATTGATGATCATACAGGAAAGCAGATATTTGTTCATCAACAGTGTCACATATGTACATATGGCAATACTTAATAAAATAGTTGGTATTGAGCACAGAACCATTTTGAGAAAGGCAAGGTACAAAAATATCAAACGCCTACCTTTGTTGCAACATGTTCCTGTCCAACCACTTTTACAGATACATCTACCATAAGTAGGTCTTCCTCCATTGTGACATTTATTTCTGTTGCATGCTCTTGTTCTGCGTAAAATGTATGGACAACTTCCGCCATTAGATTCTGACCTAATCTTTCTTCTTGTTTGCGTCTGTACACCTGCATTTCCACATTGATGACTACAAGAACTCCAACTGGTCCAACTGCTGACCACACAATTTATGGGAGATTCTTAAAAAAATTATTTGTCGCATTTAATTTCAATGCTCAAATAAATTTCACCCAATACTTGAATATACGTGATAATGTTTAGTTTTACTTTTTGTGGAAAAGGCTAACGTGATACCGATTCCAAAATCACTATCGGCCAACAATATTTTAACAACGATTCGGACTTTAGACCAATTGCCCTCAAACGCATTGTATAAGCCAAATTTTGAAGTCCTTCCCACATAAAAGGTTGTTGCAGTACGTCAGCAGTCTAATTGACCATAGCCAATATTTTGGGATTAAACGATCTAACTACATAATGCCCCACGGAGTACGGATGCATTTTTTAATCTTGTTATAAGGTGGAGAAGTACATGTACATAGCCGTTGTAAAGAGACTGCGAGAGCTTTAATTTATAATAAGGGTTATATAACAAGTAGTAAATATTTGAAACTGTAATCGTGCCATTACATTGAACAGAATGTTCCCGGTTGGCTTTCCCCTCCCCCTACCCACGCCACTGTTTGAAGAAATTTATTCACAACACATACTTTTGCTGCAACATGTTCCTGTCCAACCACTATAACAGATACATCTACCATAGGTTGGTCTTCCTCTATTGCGACATTTATTTCTGTTGCATGCTCTTGTTCTGCGTAAACTATATGGACAACTTCCGCCATTAGATTCTGTCCTAATCTTTCTTCTTGTTCGTGTCTGTACACCAGCATTTCCACATTGGTGACTACAAGAACTCCAACTTGACCATCGACTGACTACACAATTTCTAGGACGCCCTTGAAAACATTATTGTAGTTGAATGGACAAATAAACTGTATCGAATACTCAGATAAAGGTGCAGGTGTTGCAACTTTACTGAAACACGGCACATTGTTTATTTCTGTCTTAAGCAGAAAAGTAAAACAAATTTTCTTAAAAATTTAATCGCGAGCTTGAAATTATAATCAGGGTTATACGACAAAACAGCAAGTGTTTATAACTGCAAAATGGTTTTATATTGAACTGAATACAACTATAGATGGCTGTCTCCCGCCTTAACAGTAATTCAGCTAATCTTCTGAGGTAAGGCGCAAGGCCAAGGAAAAAATATTACAACACGTACTTTTGTCGCAACATTTTCCTTTCCAACCACTATAACAGATACATCTACCATATGATGCCCATCCTCTATTGCGACATTTATTTCTGTTGCATGCTCTTGTTCTGCGTAAACTGTATGGACAACGTCCGCCATTCGATTCTGACCTAATCTTTCTTCTTGTTTGTGTCTGTACACCTGCATTTCCACATTGATGATTACAAGAACTCCAACTGGACCAATGACTGACTACACAATTTCTTGCACGCCCTTAAAAAAAATTTATTTGTTGTAGCTCAATGTCCAAGTAAAATTTGCCCAATACTTAAATATACGAGCAGGTGTTACAATTTTACTGAAGCACAATACTTTTTTTTATTTCTGTCTTTAGTATACAAGTACATCATATTTTCTTAAAAATTTAATCGCAGTTATGAGGACACCACTAGAGCTTGAAATTATAATCACGAATATACGACAACGTGGCAAATGTTTGAAACTGAAATCAGGGTTATTATTTTGAAATGAATATTTATATTGGTGGCTATTACCCAACCATAGTTTGAAGCCAGTATAGTTAATCCCAATATATCAATGCACGGCGAAAGGCAAAGTTGAAATAACATCATAACACTTACGTTTGTTGCAACATTTTCCTGTCCAACCACTATAACAGATACATCTACCATGCCATGACCATCCTCTATTTCGACATTTATTTCTGTTGCATGCTCTTGTTTGGCGTAAACTGTAACCAGAACAGCGTCCGAACCACCAGCCTGAACTAATCTTCCTTCTTGTTCGCGTCTGTACGCCTGAATTCCACATTGATGATTACAGGAGCTCCAGCTGGACCAATGACTTAGTGTACAACGTCTCCTGTACCGTGGTCGTCTCCAACGTCGTCTTCTCCACCAACCCGCTGCATCATGCACTAACAAGACGAAAAGAAACACCAAGAAAAGCCTCATGTTGTACCGAGTAAACAGTGTAAATCTGCTGCTAATTTTCTTATATTCTCCTGTATTTCTAGTATTCAAACTTTATAACTAGTTAGCTAGAAAAGTTCTCTATTTTTCAGATTGATTGATTGGACATCGATTTAATCTTCCATTTTCATTTACACCTGTCGTTTTCTTCGACTTACACTGAGCATCAGTGACGGGAGACGCCTGCAATCAAGCTTTCTATATAAATTTTGTTTGACGTACATGTAGGTAATTTGCTACAAAAAATTTTTTGTTGTAAAGAGTCTTTGTTTTGAAGATTATATTTTTACTTTGCTGAAGGAAGTCGACGTGTGATACAGACTAAATGAAAGAGTTTTTTTGTTCCTTGCCAAAGAAAAGATAACAAAATTAGACATCTTTTCCAAATGCCCATGTTCATTCTGATCACTTTTACATTTTGATACGTATAGGACTCGAAGTTATTGCAAGTTTTGGTCCCGCTGTGTAAGTTTCAGAACATTAAAATCATTTAGAAATCTGTTGTTTTTACAGAGAACTGTCGCTCAATTATATCAAAATAATTACGTTATGCGCATTATAAGTTTGAAAAAGAAAACGCTGTAATTTGCAAGTACGTAGTCACCTACGTAATTTGTTATTCAGTGTAAATTAAGTAAGACCTGTTCAAATCAAGGTGACACGTTGGCGATTCTTATTACTCGATGAAATTACACGATCAAATATTGTTGAAACTATAACACTATTGAATCATAATTGATTGCAGAAACTGCCGATAGTCCCAACTTACAACTCAATTAATTTATCTTTCGAGATAAAATACTTGCTTTTCAATGTAAAGAAAATATTTATAGAAACATCAACATAGAAACTCCAAGGATATTCTTAACTGTGTGAAAGCATGTTATGCGTACAAATAATTTCTTTTGAACGCTAATTCTTGGGTAATTTTTTACGTTCATTCGAAGAAAGATGCAGTGTTTATCTACCTCCAATGACTATTCTAAGCAATCATATGTCACTCGGATAATTAACGTGATGACTAGACGCATTCAAGGCCAGTGATTGAGGTCTTAAGATGCATGAATAAGAGGAGTACCAGGCGAAAAATAGTGGGTCTTGCTAGATAAAATGATGATAAAGAGTACAGAAGCTTTCTGTAACCTTTTTAATTGCAACACAAGAAAGATTTCTCTGCTTTAGATGTTCATATAACATGCTTGTAAACAAAGGTTTATTACTTGAAAGCAGCGGTTGAAATAATCAAAATTCAAATTTATTGCCTAAATTAAAATTTTTTGCATGTGACTCAAACCGTATCTTCGATAAATTCTGAAGTTATTCCATTGTCGCTATATGACTTCAATGTTTAGACGTATGTCGCTCGCTGCTCGGCAAGAAAACGACAACAACATCGAATCATTCGTGGTATTAGCTGCTTTCGCTAAAGCTATGTCTCACATTGCTTAAATCCATCGCAGACAAACATCAATACGACAATACCAATACACTGTTTCACGATTTTTTCTGACCTTCTATGATTCAAATCGCACAACTAAACTCTTATTAAACGTCGATAACAATGTTATCAAATACAAACACATTATTTACACTCAGATGATGATGTATATATATACCTTCTTAATATATATATATATATATATATATATATATATACATACGTATATATATACCTTCTATCCTTCTTCCAAGGATATTCTTAACTATGTGAAAGCATGCTATGCGTACAAATACTTTCTTTGAATGCTAATTCTTGGGTAATTTTTTACATTCATTCGAAGAATGATGCAGTGTTTATCTACCAACAATGACTATTCTAAGCAATCATATGTCTCTCAGATAATTAACGTGATGACTAGACGCATTCAAGATCAGTGATTGAGGTCTTAAGATGCATGAAATAAGAGGCGTACCAGGCGAAAAATTGTGGGTCTTGCTAGATAAAATGATGATAAAGAGTACAGAAGCTTTCTGCAACCTTTTTAATTGCAACACAAGAAAGATTTCTCTGCTTTAGATATTCACATAGCATGCTTGTAAACAAAGGTTTATTACTTAAAAGCAGCGGTTGAAATAATCAAAATTCAAATTTGTTACATAAATTAAAATTGTGACTCAAACCGTATCTTCGATAAATTCTGAAGTTATTCTATGGTCGCTTCATGACTTCAATGTTTAGAAGTTTGTCGCTTGCTGCTCGGCAAGAAGACGACAACAACATCGAATCATTCGTGGTATTAGCTGCTTTCGCAAAAGCTATGTCTCACTGACTCTCACATTGCTTAAATCCATCGTAGACAAACATCAATACGACAATACCAATACACTGTTTCACATTTTTGTCTGATTCAAATCGCACGACTAAACGCTTATAAAACGTCGATAATTTGCTATTAAAATTTGGCTTCGTTGAAAAGAATTGGACTTTGTAAAACAGTTGAAACATATATGTGTTTACAATAGAAGATGTTGAAAACAATCAGTGGTGAAGCCAGCCGGAATTTTACTTCTACGTTAAATATTTTTCAACAAAATTATCATTCATTTCTTTACAAAATTAATTACATACTTCGTTTTGCCAGTGAATGAGCACAAAATATTTAAGTTGCAAGAGTAAAAACACGGGCTGAATTTACAACTGAACACATCAATGTATTTTTATTCTCTATTCTCTATTAGTACACTCTATAGATTTATAACTTATATGGCGTCTTGTACTTCATCGAGGCGATAGATAAACCCCGATGACGTATATATATGCCTTTAAAATAGTCATAGCCTGTGGCATCGCCAGCTTGATAGGCGAGGGGGATTTATTCACAAATGGATGTTTTTTTTAAGTTCGTTTGAAATCAATTGTTTATAAGGGATTAAAACATACAAATATTAATGTTGTCCCCTTAACTTATGGAGCTGGCGGCGCCATAAGTCAAGGCCTGTTTAGGTGATACATATCTATGACTACGAATGGCTCAAATCGATCCTTCATGATTTGAGAATGACGTTAACGTGAAAGGATGTGCTAACAAATCGTGAGTCGTGGGCCGTGGGTTTAATATCGTGGTTCGGATTTGGAGGTCAAGTGTCGTGTGCCTGAAGAAAACTGTTTAGACAAATTTAGATATTATAAAAGCTTACCGAAAGTTAACTAATACAGATTTTTCCTACCCGTTCTATATAAATGCGTAATATGTTCAGGAGTAGAAAGCACATTACATACCATTCAACATCAAATATTTATTCATCAAGTCTGTTCTATTAAATATTGTGCTGCAGGAAGAACATTGAATTACTGCTCGAAGAAAAAGATGTCTATCTTGAAATCGTTAAAAGGACAAGACATAGAGCACATAGAGCAAGCTGCACGCTCTTCCTACGACATTTTTTTTTTTAGGTTTTTAGTTTTTTACAATATGTAGATTTATTCATATCAAGTCAGCACACGACATTTATTCCTCCACCCACCACTATTGGCACACACATGAAGTAAAAATCCAAAGAGAACGAAGTCCGCATGTAATCTCTGCGTGAGTCGGAAGTATTTAAAAAATTCTATTCACAGCAGTAACACTACGTCTCTGTCGAAATGACAATAATGTTAAGTTCGATAAATAAAATCTCGATGAATATATTATTTACTTAAATCCTAGAAGATCTCACAAAAAACTACGCATCTTTGAAATTAGCCGACATTTAGATTTTGTATGATTCATCAATAATTGATGGTAAAAAATTGTTTAAAGTGGCTTGTAAGTGAAATATTATCGCTTTCAAGGCGTCATTGATTTAGGTGATTTCCCTATCCATTGAGCAAACGTTCTAGAAGATTTTAGTGTATTGCAGCATCGTTCTGCAACAGCAGTTTGAAACTGGTTCAAACCAGTAGCAGATTGAGGAAAGGTTGAAAAACATTTTATTTAGTAAACAAAATATTCACATATAAAGAAAAGGTTATCTCCTTTCTTTTCCACACTTTTTCGTAGAACGAACATAAAAATAGCCAACAGCATTGTTGTTTTAGTGTTTGATTTAAAAATTAAACGAGACTCACCTCTAAGTCGAAGTTTGGTTGTAATTCTTTCTTGTCATCAGTCAGGAACGAAGGAGTAACATGAGAAGCACGCGCCGCTTTTCGATAGCGATATTTCAAAAACCTCACTGGCGCTCACATGGAGCAAAGGAGAACGGGCAGCGTAATTTCTCCTGGGTGGGCATACTCTTTCGTTCCTGACTGATGACAAGAAAGAACTACAATCAAACTTCGATTTAAAGGTAAGTCTCGTTTAATTTTCAAATTCTTTCCAATCATCAGTCTACGTCACTACGGATTAACATGAGATTTCAAAGCTGTGAGCACCAGTGATTGATAAAACAAAAATTATCCATGCCGTACTGTCTTGTCGTAACACTAGTCGTAACGGTAATGATGAATATATTTCCGGAAAACCTTAGTAAAGAACAACGACAAGGTTATTATTTATTTACATATTGACTTAATAATGCCTGGCCAAAGTTTACATCGATTGGTTTGTTATAATGTCGGGAGCAAACGTCGTGGCATTAGACCACCACCCCCCGCACTTAGTACATCTTTTAGGGGTATACCTGACATTAAACCCGAAGAGGTAGATGCATCACGACTGCTATCAGCTGAAAATGTTCTAGTGTCAATTTCAGCATTAGTTAGAGCAGTCTTGAAGCAATGACTAATCGTGGCATTAGTGACGGCATTATGTGGTTTATGAGAGCGTACAAGCAACTGATGATGATGGCGTAGATCTTTGGTTTTGTTAATGTACTCTCTAATGTGTGCAACTGGACATAATTTTTCATCTTCCAGTATGATAGGATTTCTACAGGTATCATATTTTTACCTGGTCTGGTTGTTTTTAGGTTGTCACGAATATGGAAAACAATTCTATCTGGCATATCTTGAAAATGAGGAATGTCTAATTTTGCTAGGGTTTGCACCTCTGTGCTGATATTAAAGCGAGTCAAGTTGTTAGTTTTTTAGTCAGATCTTCGAGACCCAAGACGTGAGGGTAATCGGTGGATTGAAAATATCTGAGCACCATGCCCACATCCCAAACATGTGTGTAACGTGGTAATAACGGTTTCAATTCAAAGATTCCTATAAGACACCGTACTACCAAAGGTGCTCCCCAAACGTGCGGTCATTATTGGATGATAGTGCTGAGCGCGCTGTATTTATTGCACTATAACCAAGGTTTTTGCGGTGTAGTTCAGTGACAAAAGCCAAAGCCTCCAGCAATCCGTTTTCCACCTGGAAAGATAGCAGTTATATTGTTTGCTTGTGCTGTTTCTCCAAGGCGCTAACATTACATTAGTCGTGTCCTGATATAGTCCAATCCTTGTTAATTTTTCCCTGATACTAAGCAATCCAGAAAGCCTAGCGATTTGTGTAACGGATGAATTACATGTGGTGCCTCTGGTAGGCCGAAGAGGAACCGTTCCGGTTTCAAGTGGGTCTCGAATGCACATCTTCATTGATTCCGAGTACCACGACTGTGTCGGCCAGTTTGAACGTATGCATCCTACCGTTGCTGTCTGTTCTTGAATCTTTGGTAAAAAAGGTTCTATTACACTAAACGGAGGGAAAGCACAAAACTTCATATTGGATATATCAACTGAGAATACGACAACTGCCTTGGCCCCTGGATCAGGTCGGTAAGATATATAAGTAAGGAACTGTGTGTTCGTCGTGAAGCAAACACGTCCGTGTCGGGAAAAAATTTAGCTTTAATAATGCCTCATTAAGGCGTTCCCACTTAAGCATTCACTCAGTATTATACATTGTCTATTTCTGGATTAAAAAATCTGAGTCAGTATTTTCAATCCCTGGCATGTGAGCTGCGCTAACCCATATCTTACGATCCATTAACCATTCCCAAACTCTCTAACCTATATTATTGCATTGCGGAGAATGACTCGAACCCATGTGATTTATTAAAGCTACAGCTGTGACGTTATCTAGTCGTGCTCTAATGTGCGTGTTGTTCAGCGACTTGCAATATGTTTGCAATCACAGGTATAAAGCTAAAAGCTCTAGATAATTTATATGGTTATTTTTCTCGTGTAAGTTCCAAGTTCTCCCAGTCTGTTTATTATAAAACACTGCCCCCCCCCCCAGCCACAAAGAGAGGCATCAGTTGTTTGAATATATAATAGTTTGCCGTAAGTAATTACATTGTATGCCTTATCGATATTTCCTATCCACCACATTATCTCATGGCAAGATGCATCATTCAAACACAATGCATTGTCGAAACTCCCTTTCAACGCGCGAATAGCATGTACCTAAAATCTTCGAGTGCACGATAAAAAAAAATGGCCCGTGCATCACGCCAGGGAAAGATGCTATCAGTTTTCCTATTAATTGTGCAAAATCTCGAATTGTCACGCGATCCGAATTTAAGATGGTTTCACAGTTGCTCTTAATAGTAGCTAGTTTCTCTGCAGTTAGGCATTAGTCGTGTCTATCAAGTTTACAACAAATCCTAACAGTGTAATAATTTGATTTGGGTTAAGAACAGATTTTCAGGGTGAATAAAGCCTAAAGCATCAAACTTTTCAAAGTAGCAATTATACAAACTACGCACTCGTTATATGTTTTACCCTGGAGAAAGAGGTCGTCAATGTAAGTAGCAGTCGTGTGTTCATGGTTTTTGAAGCCTGCATATTTATACTTAATACCTATGACTGCGAATACCTTGAGGCACAGTTCATTCCTGTCAATAGACGACCTGTGTCGACTTGGAAAGAAAATAAGTTAAATGGATATCTCCCCACCCCCTACAATAACATCGACAAACTGTACTGGTTTTCTGTTTATAGTCTGAGATTATATTTAATGTTAGAACAGTTAATTACACAACTATACAGAAACTTATGCTTATTTACATAACTAAGCAGACAACATACTTATATTTCTCAATTAATGCTTTAATGCAATCTATTAGGTGTTGACCTAAGTCTACATACTTAAGTAGGTAAGCATTTACCATAGATTACAGTTACTAAAGGGCAAAGGCTATACATGCCATGACAAGTATCAATAGTAAAAGTTCTAAAATCGTTGACATCAAATCGAGCTCTTCGTATCTTTCACTGAAACAAAAGTAGAACCAATTTTCAGGGTCATTACCATTAAGCATCATATCTTCTTCTCTGTTGTCAACGAAAAGGCTGACGACTAGCTGCAATGATTGAAAATCCTTTCGATCAAAGATTGAACTTATCTCTTCATTCGGAAACATGTCTTCTCTTTGTTAACGAGAAGGCTATCGTCCAGCTGCATAGCTTCAGAATCTGGTTCTCCTTGATGGTACGGTTCGATCTCACATGTCTGGTTGCGATAACTCCCGTCACCAGTTTGTTCAAGCGAGCTGAAAACATTGCGTTGATTAGGTTCACCAACAAATACACCGATATTTTGTGTCGTTTTAGCGACATTTATTTCTTGATACACTGGATCCACTTCAAAGGAACAATTTTTTGTACCGAGTACATTTCGATCAAAGTTTGAACATATATCTTCATCCGGAAACATGTCTTCTTCTCTGTTGTTAACGAGAAGGCTATCGTCGAGCTGCATAGCTTCAGAATCTGGTTCTCCTTGATGGTACGGTTTGATCTCACTTGTCTGGTTGCGATAACTCCCGTCACCAGTTTGTTCAAACGAACTGAAAACATTGCGTTGACTACGTTCACCAACAAATACACTGATATTTTGTGTCGTTTTAGCGACATTTATTTCTTGATCCACTGGATTCACTTCAAAGGAACAATTTTCTGTACCGAATACATTTCGATCAAAGATTGAACTTATCTCTTTATCCGGAAACATGTCTTCTTCTCTGTTGTTAACCAGAATGACAACCTTCTCGAGGGGAACCTCCTCTTGATGAGTGTAATCGCTCATGACTAACTCTATAAAGAATCAGATGTCAAATAATTTCATGAATTTGCAACAAGACACTCAACATTTTAAAAAATTTATAGCCTACTGCTCTCCATGATATTTTTTTAAATTGATTACAGAGTCACAAGACTCGTTCTTAAGATATTATCATTTTCAGATCTTAACATGAAAGAGATTTTATTAGACCTCATAAATGACCTCAAAAACATGAATGACGTCATGACATACATGTTTTGTTAAATATTATGTGTTCACATTGCTCGTGAAGATAATTCGTGCACGAAGTTTCAACTTATGGAAACTGTCCTTTCTATTATTCTGGATGACAAACAGTAACTAAAAAAGATTCATCATTGACAATTCATAAAAATCAAACTCTTGAATCGCGTGTATTTTACATCATGTCGTATGATTTCTGCATGACCGAAATTAGAAAATATTTGTCATCGATTGATTCCCACAGTATAACAAAATCGAAAGATCGCAGTGATCTTCCCACCAAAATTTTCAAAACTAAAGACAATTTGGGTATCAAAAGTCAACATGTATTTTCGCTGATGTTTTGCTCATAAAGTAAGCGTCGAAATATAAGCAACTGACAAAGACAATGGCGAAGACTTCTGTTGCAAAGAATTAGTCTTAGTCAGAGTGTTAGTATTACTGATATCAGCAAAACAACGCGCTACAAGCTAACACATAGAACATGAAGGTATAAGAATGTCGTAAACTACATATATACCATAATATCAATAATACGTTTGATTTTATAGCTCAAATGCTCATGGTCAAATACTGAGGAGCTTGGTGATGTAAATCTAACTGTTTCAATTGCGGCCTTACGCTGCACTTCTCAGTATAAAAACTGACTTTAAAGATGAATATCTTCCCATTTAATAGAAAATGGTGATTTAAATATTTAAAGTTGGTCAAATTAGTTTGTCGTATTGTAGAAAATCAATGTCAATTGCTGTCGATTTAAGGTAGCAACAAACAAAATATTTTAGCCCAAAATCATCAGCGAAATAGATGAGTTTCCATGTAAAAGAATTTTACGAATTATAATATGTTAACCTCCATATTTGTTTGTGACGGCATTAAACCATTAGGAATACATCATAGCGAATGTTTGCGGAAATAACATTTAAAATTTATAGTTTGCGACAAATAGGCATTTGAATTTATTAGTTCGATTCGATATGTTTTAAGTCACTGAAATCCAAGCAGTCTTCTACAGTTATTAAACAAGATTTACCTTTTGTTGAAAATATTAAGCACGATCTTCTCGACCACATTCTGTAACAATATATTGACGCCTATCCACGGAAATAATGTGCGCAACTTATGATCTATATGTGACAAAGAGAAATTCGACGTTGAGAGTTAAATTTCATGTTCATTCAGATAGCTAATACTTATTAAAACGAGATTTACCTTGTTTTCGAATTCCTGTGTTTCACGTGAAAAATGTCATATGATCTCTGCGTGACTAGAAATAATAAAGATTAAATTTCATATCCGTAGAATCGTAGTGTTTCTACCAATAATTGAATTAAATTTGTTAAATTCGACAGACAAATGTCTTATTTTATCACATGTAACATTACAAGGAAAGATGTCAATACAAAGTAAGACTTACCACGGTACAAGCAATTTTCTCATTCAACGGTGATTCCCCAGTTAATACTTGGGAATTCCCATTCACCTTTTTTAGTAATATGAAGGAACACTGCTAAGAGAACATTGTCTGAGAATTTCAGACTGCTTAACTCGATGACGTCAACCAACGAATAATGTTACTGAATAATGAGTGAAACTGATTATACCACTTTACGTGATACCCAATCTTTACAAGACATTTGGTAAGTTATTATAAGTCTAGCACTTTGTTTGACTATCTGGGATGCAATTATAATTTGCAAAATAAACTTTTGGAGGAACTTTCTTTGTACCTGGTGTTTATATTGATTAGTTGGAAGAATGTTCATGGTTTTGAAGCCTGCACATGTATACTTAATACCTCTGACTGCGAATACCTTGAGGCACAGTTCATTCCTGTCAATAGAAGACTTGTGTCGATATGGAAAGAAAATAAGTTAAATGGATATCTCCCCTAAAATAACATAGACAATCTGTACTGGTTTTCTGTTTATAATCTGAGATTATACTTAATGTTAGAACAGTTAATTACACAACTATACAGAAATTTATGCTTATTCACATAACTAAGCAGACCACATACTTATGTTTCTCAATTAATGCTTTAATGCAATCAATTAGGTGTTGACCTAAGTCAACATACTTTAGTAGGTAAGCATTTACCATAGATTTACGTGTTCATGACGTTCTAATTTACACTATTCTGTAATAATGCAACAGTAATGCTTATGGTAACATTTTATAAAGACGACAGTTAATAAAGGGCAAAGGCTATACATGCCATGTCAAGTATCAATAGTCAAAGTTCTGAAATCGTTGACATCAAATCGAGCTCTTCGTATCTTTCACTGAAAGAAAAGTAGAACCAATTTTCAGGGTAATTATCATTATGCATTGTATCTTCTTCTGTGTTGTCAACGAGATGGCTGACGACGAGCTGCAATGATTGAAAATCCATTCGATCAAAGATTGAACTTATCTCTTCATCCGAAAACATGTCTTCTTCTCTGTTGTTAACGAGAAGGCTATCGTCGAGCTGCATAGCTTCAGAATGTGGTTCTCCTTGATGGTACGGTTCGATCTCACTTGTCTGGTTGCGATAACTCCCGTCACCAGTTTGTTCAAGAGAACTGAAAACATTGCGTTGATTAGGTTCCCCAACAAATACACTGATATTTTGTGTCATTTTAGCGACATTTATTTCTTGATCCACTGGATTCACTTCAAAGGAACAAATTTCTGTACCGAATACATTTCGATCAAAGATTGAACTTATCTCTTCATCCGGAAACAGGTCTTCTTCTCTCTTTCTAACGAGAAGGCTATCGCCGAGCTGCATAGCTTCATAATCTGGTTCTCCTTGATGGTACGGTTTGATCTCACTTGTCTGGTTGCGATAACTCCCGTCACCAGTTTGTTCAAGCGAACTGAAAACATTGCGTTGACTACGTTCACCAACAAATACACTGATATTTTGTGTCATTTTAGCGACATTTATTTCTTGATCCACTGGATTCCTTCAAAGGAACAAATTTCTGTACCGAATACATTTCGATCAAAGATTAAACTTATCTCTTCATCCGGAAACAGGTCTTCTTCTCTTTCTAACGAGAAGGCTATCGCCGAGCTGCATAGCTTCATAATCTGGTTCTCCTTGATGGTACGGTTTGATCTCACTTGTCTGGTTGCGATAACTCCGGTCACCAGTTTGTTCAAGCGAACTGAAAACATTGCGTTGACTACGTTCACCAACAAATACACTGATATTTTGTGTCGTTTTAGCGACATTTATTTCTTGATCCACTGGATTCCCTTCAAAGGAACAAATTTCTGTACCGAATACATTTCGATCAATGATTAAACTTATCTCTTCATCCGGAAACAGGTCTTCTTCTCTCTTTCTAACGAGAAGGCTATCGCCGAGCTGCATAGCTTCATAATCTGTTTCTCCTTGATGGTACGGTTCGATCTCACTTGTCTGGTTGCGATAACTCCCGTCACCAGTTTGTTCAAGCGAACAGAAAACATTGCGTTGACTACGTTCACCAACAAATACACTGTTGTTTTGTGTCGTTTTAGCGACATTTATTTCTTGATCCACTGGATTCACTTCAAAGGAACAATTTTCTGTACCGAATACATTTCGATCAAAGATTGAACTTATCTCTTTATCCGGAAACATGTCTTCTTCTCTGTTGTTAACCAGAATGACAACCTTCTCGAGGGGAACCTCCTCTTGATGAGTGTAATCGCTCATGACTAACTCTATAAAGAATCAGATGTCAAATAATTTCATGAATTTGCAACAAGACACTCAAAATTTTAAAAAATTTATAGCCTACTGCTCTCCATGATATTTTTTTAAATTGATTACAGAGTCACAAGACTCGTTCTTAAGATATTATCATTTTCAGATGTTAACATGAAAGAGATTTTATTAGACCTCATAAATGACCTCATAAAAACATGAATGACGTCATGACATACATGTTTTGTTAAATATTATGTGTTCACATTGCTCGTGAAGATAATTCGTGCACGAAGTTTCAACTTATGGAAACTGTCCTTTCTATTATTCTGGATGACAAACAGTAACTAAAAAAGATTCATCATTGACAATTCATAAAAATCAAACTCTTGAATCGCGTGTATTTTTACATCATGTCGTATGATTTCTGCATGACCGAAATTAGAAAATATTTGTCATCGATTGATTCCCACAGTATAACAAAAATCGAAAGATCGCAGTGATCTTCCCACCAAAATTTTCAAAACTAAAGACAATTTGGGTATCAAAAGTCAACATGTATTTTCGCTGATGTTTTGCTCATAAAGTAAGCGTCGAAATATAAGCAACTGACAAAGACAATGGCGAAGACTTCTGTTGCAAAGAATTAGTCTTAGTCAGAGTGTTAGTATTACTGATATCAGCAAAACAACGCGCTACAAGCTAACACATAGAACATGAAGGTATAAGAATGTCGTAAACTACATATATACCATAATATCAATAATACGTTTGATTTTATAGCTCAAATGCTCATGGTCAAATACTGAGGAGCTTGGTGATGTAAATCTAACTGTTTCAATTGCGGCCTTACGCTGCACTTCTCAGTATAAAAACTGACTTTAAAGATGAATATCTTCCCATTTAATAGAAAATGGTGATTTATATATTTAAAGTTGGTCAAATTAGTTTGTCGTATTGTAGAAAATCAATGTCAATTGCTGTCGATTTAAGGTAGCAACAAACAAAATATTTTAGCCCAAAATCATCAGCGAAATAGATGAGTTTCCATGTAAAAGAATTTTACGAATTATAATATGTTAACCTCCATATTTGTTTGTGACGGCATTAAACCATTAGGAATACATCATAGCGAATGTTTGCGGAAATAACATTTAAAATTTATAGTTTGCGACAAATAGGCATTTGAATTTATTAGTTCGATTCGATATGTTTTAAGTCACTGAAATCCAAGCAGTCTTCTACAGTTATTAAACAAGATTTACCTTTTGTTGAAAATATTAAGCACGATCTTCTCGACCACATTCTGTAACAATATATTGACGCCTATCCACGGAAATAATGTGCGCAACTTATGATCTATATGTGACAAAGAGAAATTCGACGTTGAGAGTTAAATTTCATGTTCATTCAGATAGCTAATACTTATTAAAACGAGATTTACCTTGTTTTCGAATTCCTGTGTTTCACGTGAAAAATGTCATATGATCTCTGCGTGACTAGAAATAATAAAAGATTAAATTTCATATCCGTAGAATCGTAGTGTTTCTACCAATAATTGAATTAAATTTGTTAAATTCGACAGACAAATGTCTTATTTTATCACATGTAACATTACAAGGAAAGATGTCAATACAAAGTAAGACTTACCACGGTACAAGCAATTTTCTCATTCAACGGTGATTCCCCAGTTAATACTTGGGAATTCCCATTCACCTTTTTTAGTAATATGAAGGAACACTGCTAAGAGAACATTGTCTGAGAATTTCAGACTGCTTAACTCGATGACGTCAACCAACGAATAATGTTACTGAATAATGAGTGAAACTGATTATACCACTTTACGTGATACCCAATCTTTACAAGACATTTGGTAAGTTATTATAAGTCTAGCACTTTGTTTGACTATCTGGGATGCAATTATAATTTGCAAAAATAAACTTTTGGAGGAACTTTCTTTGTACCTGGTGTTTATATTGATTAGTTGGAAGAATGTTCATGGTTTTTGAAGCCTGCACATGTATACTTAATACCTCTGACTGCGAATACCTTGAGGCACAGTTCATTCCTGTCAATAGAAGACTTGTGTCGATATGGAAAGAAAATAAGTTAAATGGATATCTCCCCTAAAATAACATAGACAATCTGTACTGGTTTTCTGTTTATAATCTGAGATTATACTTAATGTTAGAACAGTTAATTACACAACTATACAGAAATTTATGCTTATTCACATAACTAAGCAGACCACATACTTATGTTTCTCAATTAATGCTTTAATGCAATCAATTAGGTGTTGACCTAAGTCAACATACTTTAGTAGGTAAGCATTTACCATAGATTTACGTGTTCATGACGTTCTAATTTACACTATTCTGTAATAATGCAACAGTAATGCTTATGGTAACATTTTATAAAGACGACAGTTAATAAAGGGCAAAGGCTATACATGCCATGTCAAGTATCAATAGTCAAAGTTCTGAAATCGTTGACATCAAATCGAGCTCTTCGTATCTTTCACTGAAAGAAAAGTAGAACCAATTTTCAGGGTCATTATCATTATGCATCGTATCTTCTTCTGTGTTGTCAACGAGATGGCTGACGACGAGCTGCAATGATTGAAAATCCATTCGATCAAAGATTGAACTTATCTCTTCATCCGAAAACATGTCTTCTTCTCTGTTGTTAACGAGAAGGCTATCGTCGAGCTGCATAGCTTCAGAATGTGGTTCTCCTTGATGGTACGGTTCGATCTCACTTGTCTGGTTGCGATAACTCCGTCACCAGTTTGTTCAAGAGAACTGAAAACATTGCGTTGATTAGGTTCCCCAACAAATACACTGATATTTTGTGTCATTTTAGCGACATTTATTTCTTGATCCACTGGATTCCTTCAAAGGAACAAATTTCTGTACCGAATACATTTCGATCAAAGATTAAACTTATCTCTTCATCCGGAAACAGGTCTTCTTCTCTCTTTCTAACGAGAAGGCTATCGCCGAGCTGCATAGCTTCATAATCTGGTTCTCGTTGATGGTACGGTTTGATCTCACTTGTCTGGTTGCGATAACTCCCGTCACCAGTTTGTTCAAGCGAACTGAAGACATTGCGTTGACTACGTTCACCAACAAATACACTGTTATTTTGTGTCGTTTTAGCGACATTTATTTCTTGATTCACTGGATTCACTTCAAAGGAACAATTTTCTGTACCAAATACATTTCGATCAAAGATTGAACTTATCTCTTCATCCGGAAACAGGTCTTCTTCTCTGTTGTTAACGAGAAGGCTATCGTCCAGCTGCATAGCTTGAAAATCTGGTTCTCCTTGATGGTACGGTTCGATCTCACTTGTCTGGTTGCGATAACTCCCGTCACCAGTTTGTTCAAACGAACTGAAAACATTGCGTTGACTACGTTCACCAACAAATACACTGATATTTTGTGTCGTTTTAGCGACATTTATTTCTTGATCCACTGGATTCCCTTCAAAGGAACAAATTTCTGTACCGAATACATTTCGATCAATGATTAAACTTATCTCTTCATCCGGAAACAGGTCTTCTTCTCTCTTTCTAACGAGAAGGCTATCGCCGAGCTGCATAGCTTCATAATCTGTTTCTCCTTGATGGTACGGTTTGATCTCACTTGTCTGGTTGCGATAACTCCGGTCACCAGTTTGTTCAAGCGAACTGAAAACATTGCGTTGACTACGTTCACCAACAAATACACTGATATTTTGTGTCGTTTTAGCGACATTTATTTCTTGATCCACTGGATTCACTTCAAAGGAACAATTTTCTGTACCAAATACATTTCGATCAAAGATTGAACTTATCTCTTCATCCGGAAACAGGTCTTCTTCTCTGTTGTTAACGAGAAGGCTATCGTCCAGCTGCATAGCTTGAAAATCTGGTTCTCCTTGATGGTACGGTTCGATCTCACTTGTCTGGTTGCGATAACTCCCGTCACCAGTTTGTTCAAACGAACTGAAAACATTGCGTTGACTACGTTCACCAACAAATACACTGATATTTTGTGTCGTTTTAGCGACATTTATTTCTTGATCCACTGGATTCACTTCAAAGGAACAATTTTCTGTACCGAATACATTTCGATCAAAGATTGAACTTATCTCTTTATCCGGAAACATGTCTTCTTCTCTGTTGTTAACCAGAATGACAACCTTCTCGAGGGGAACCTCCTCTTGATGAGTGTAATCGCTCATGACTAACTCTATAAAGAATCAGATGTCAAACAATTTCATGAATTTGCAACAAGACACTCAACATTTTAAAAAATTTATAGCCTACTGCTCTCCATGATATTTTTTTAAATTGATTACAGAGTCACAAGACTCGTTCTTAAGATATTATCATTTTCAGATCTTAACATGAAAGAGATTTTATTAGACCTCATAAATGACCTCATAAAACATGAATGACGTCATGACATACATGTTTTGTTAAATATTATGTGTTCACATTGCTCGTGAAGATAATTCGTGCACGAAGTTTCAACTTATGGAAACTGTCCTTTCTATTATTCTGGATGACAAACAGTAACTAAAAGATTCATCATTGACAATTCATAAAAATCAAACTCTTGAATCGCGTGTATTTTTACATCATGTCGTATGATTTCTGCATGACCGAAATTAGAAAATATTTGTCATCGATTGATTCCCACAGTATAACAAAATCGAAAGATCGCAGTGATCTTCCCACCAAAATTTTCAAAACTAAAGACAATTTGGGTATCAAAAGTCAACATGTATTTTCGCTGATGTTTTGCTCATAAAGTAAGCGTCGAAATATAAGCAACTGACAAAGACAATGGCGAAGACTTCTGTTGCAAAGAATTAGTCTTAGTCAGAGTGTTAGTATTACTGATATCAGCAAAACAACGCGCTACAAGCTAACACATAGAACATGAAGGTATAAGAATGTCGTAAACTACATATATACCATAATATCAATAATACGTTTGATTTTATAGCTCAAATGCTCATGGTCAAATACTGAGGAGCTTGGTGATGTAAATCTAACTGTTTCAATTGCGGCCTTACGCTGCACTTCTCAGTATAAAACTGACTTTAAAGATGAATATCTTCCTATTTAATAGAAAATGGTGATTTATATATTTAAAGTTGGTCAAATTAGTTTGTCGTATTGTAGAAAATCAAGGTCAATTGCTGTCGATTTAAGGTAGCAACAAACAAAATATTTTAGCCCAAAATCATCAGCGAAATAGATGAGTTTCCATGTAAAAGAATTTTACGAATTATAATATGTTAACCTCCATATTTGTTTGTGACGGCATTAAACCATTAGGAATACATCATAGCGAATGTTTGCGGAATAACATTTAAAATTTATAGTTTGCGACAAATAGGCATTTGAATTTATGAGTTCGATTCGATATGTTTTAAGTCACTGAAATCCAAGCAGTCTTCTACAGTTATTAAACAAGATTTACCTTTTGTTGAAAATATTAAGCACGATCTTCTCGACCACAATCTGTAACAATATATTGACGCCTATCCACGGAAATAATGTGCGCAACTTATGATCTATATGTGACAAAGAGAAATTCGACGTTGAGAGTTTAATTTCATGTTCATTCAGATAGCTAATACTTATTAAAACGAGATTTACCTTGTTTTCGAATTCCTGTGTTTCGCACTATCTTCTCAAAATTGCTGCTTGACGTCTTCCTCACCATAAGTGATAAGCAGCAACTGAATGACGAACAAACAATAAATTCCATGTATTTGGTAAACCAATAAATTTATTAGAAAATGAAAGCATTGATCACGTGAAAAATGTCATATGATCTCTGCGTGACTAGAAATAATAAAAGATTAAATTTCATATCCGTAGAATCGTAGTGTTTCTACCAATAATTGAATTAAATTTGTTAAATTCGACAGACAAATGTCTTATTTTATCAGATGTAACATTACAAGGAAAGATGTCAATACAAAGTAAGACTTACCACGGTACAAGCAATTTTCTCATTCAACGGTGATTCCCCAGTTAATACTTGGGAATTCCCATTCACCTTTTAGTAATATGAAGGAACACTGCTAAGAGAACATTGTCTGAGAATTTCAGACTGCTTAACTCGATGACGTCAACCAACGAATAATGTTACTGAATAATGAGTGAAACTGATTATACCACTTTACGTGATACCCAATCTTTACAAGGCATTTGGTAAGTTATTATAAGTCTAGCACTTTGTTTGACTATCTGGGATGCAATTATAATTTGCAAAATAAACTTTTGGAGGAACTTTCTTTGTACCTGGTGTTTATATTGATTAGTTGGAAGAATGTTCATGGTTTTGAAGCCTGCACATGTATACTTAATACCTCTGACTGCGAATACCTTGAGGCACAGTTCATTCCTGTCAATAGAAGACTTGTGTCGATATGGAAAGAAAATAAGTTAAATGGATATCTCCCCTAAAATAACATAGACAATCTGTACTGGTTTTCTGTTTATAATCTGAGATTATACTTAATGTTAGAACAGTTAATTACACAACTATACAGAAATTTATGCTTATTCACATAACTAAGCAGACCACATACTTATGTTTCTCAATTAATGCTTTAATGCAATCAATTAGGTGTTGACCTAAGTCAACATACTTTAGTAGGTAAGCATTTACCATAGATTTACGTGTTCATGACGTTCTAATTTACACTATTCTGTAATAATGCAACAGTAATGCTTATGGTAACATTTTATAAAGACGACAGTTAATAAAGGGCAAAGGCTATACATGCCATGTCAAGTATCAATAGTCAAAGTTCTGAAATCGTTGACATCAAATCGAGCTCTTCGTATCTTTCACTGAAAGAAAAGTAGAACCAATTTTCAGGGTCATTATCATTATGCATCGTATCTTCTTCTGTGTTGTCAACGAGATGGCTGACGACGAGCTGCAATGATTGAAAATCCATTCGATCAAAGATTGAACTTATCTCTTCATCCGAAAACATGTCTTCTTCTCTGTTGTTAACGAGAAGGCTATCGTCGAGCTGCATAGCTTCAGAATGTGGTTCTCCTTGATGGTACGGTTCGATCTCACTTGTCTGGTTGCGATAACTCCCGTCACCAGTTTGTTCAAGAGAACTGAAAACATTGCGTTGATTAGGTTCCCAACAAATACACTGATATTTTGTGTCATTTTAGCGACATTTATTTCTTGATCCACTGGATTCCCTTCAAAGGAACAAATTTCTGTACCGAATACATTTCGATCAAAGATTAAACTTATCTCTTCATCCGGAAACAGGTCTTCTTCTCTCTTTCTAACGAGAAGGCTATCGCCGAGCTGCATAGCTTCATAATCTGGTTCTCGTTGATGGTACGGTTTGATCTCACTTGTCTGGTTGCGATAACTCCCGTCACCAGTTTGTTCAAGCGAACTGAAAACATTGCGTTGACTACGTTCACCAACAAATACACTGTTATTTTGTGTCGTTTTAGCGACATTTATTTCTTGATCCACTGGATTCACTTCAAAGGAACAATTTTCTGTACCAAATACATTTCGATCAAAGATTGAACTTATCTCTTCATCCGGAAACAGGTCTTCTTCTCTGTTGTTAACGAGAAGGCTATCGTCCAGCTGCATAGCTTGAAAATCTGGTTCTCCTTGATGGTACGGTTCGATCTCACTTGTCTGGTTGCGATAACTCCCGTCACCAGTTTGTTCAAACGAACTGAAAACATTGCGTTGACTACGTTCACCAACAAATACACTGATATTTTGTGTCGTTTTAGCGACATTTATTTCTTGATCCACTGGATTCACTTCAAAGGAACAATTTTCTGTACCGAATACATTTCGATCAAAGATTGAACTTATCTCTTTATCCGGAAACATGTCTTCTTCTCTGTTGTTAACCAGAATGACAACCTTCTCGAGGAACCTCCTCTTGATGAGTGTAATCGCTCATGACTAACTCTATAAAGAATCAGATGTCAAACAATTTCATGAATTTGCAACAAGACACTCAACATTTTAAAAATTTATAGCCTACTGCTCTCCATGATATTTTTAAATTGATTACAGAGTCACAAGACTCGTTCTTAAGATATTATCATTTTCAGATCTTAACATGAAAGAGATTTTATTAGACCTCATAAATGACCTCATAAAACATGAATGACGTCATGACATACATGTTTTGTTAAATATTATGTGTTCACATTGCTCGTGAAGATAATTCGTGCACGAAGTTTCAACTTATGGAAACTGTCCTTTCTATTATTCTGGATGACAAACAGTAACTAAAAGATTCATCATTGACAATTCATAAAAATCAAACTCTTGAATCGCGTGTATTTTTACATCATGTCGTATGATTTCTGCATGACCGAAATTAGAAAATATTTGTCATCGATTGATTCCCACAGTATAACAAAAATCGAAAGATCGCAGTGATCTTCCCACCAAAATTTTCAAAACTAAAGACAATTTGGGTATCAAAAGTCAACATGTATTTTCGCTGATGTTTTGCTCATAAAGTAAGCGTCGAAATATAAGCAACTGACAAAGACAATGGCGAAGACTTCTGTTGCAAAGAATTAGTCTTAGTCAGAGTGTTAGTATTACTGATATCAGCAAAACAACGCGCTACAAGCTAACACATAGAACATGAAGGTATAAGAATGTCGTAAACTACATATATACCATAATATCAATAATACGTTTGATTTTATAGCTCAAATGCTCATGGTCAAATACTGAGGAGCTTGGTGATGTAAATCTAACTGTTTCAATTGCGGCCTTACGCTGCACTTCTCAGTATAAAACTGACTTTAAAGATGAATATCTTCCTATTTAATAGAAAATGGTGATTTATATATTTAAAGTTGGTCAAATTAGTTTGTCGTATTGTAGAAAATCAAGGTCAATTGCTGTCGATTTAAGGTAGCAACAAACAAAATATTTTAGCCCAAAATCATCAGCGAAATAGATGAGTTTCCATGTAAAAGAATTTTACGAATTATAATATGTTAACCTCCATATTTGTTTGTGACGGCATTAAACCATTAGGAATACATCATAGCGAATGTTTGCGGAAATAACATTTAAAATTTATAGTTTGCGACAATAGGCATTTGAATTTATGAGTTCGATTCGATATGTTTTAAGTCACTGAAATCCAAGCAGTCTTCTACAGTTATTAAACAAGATTTACCTTTTGTTGAAAATATTAAGCACGATCTTCTCGACCACAATCTGTAACAATATATTGACGCCTATCCACGGAAATAATGTGCGCAACTTATGATCTATATGTGACAAAGAGAAATTCGACGTTGAGAGTTTAATTTCATGTTCATTCAGATAGCTAATACTTATTAAAACGAGATTTACCTTGTTTTCGAATTCCTGTGTTTCGCACTATCTTCTCAAAATTGCTGCTTGACGTCTTCCTCACCATAAGTGATAAGCAGCAACTGAATGACGAACAAACAATAAATTCCATGTATTTGGTAAACCAATAAATTTATTAGAAAATGAAAGCATTGATCACGTGAAAAATGTCATATGATCTCTGCGTGACTAGAAATAATAAAAGATTAAATTTCATATCCGTAGAATCGTAGTGTTTCTACCAATAATTGAATTAAATTTGTTAAATTCGACAGACAAATGTCTTATTTTATCAGATGTAACATTACAAGGAAAGATGTCAATACAAAGTAAGACTTACCACGGTACAAGCAATTTTCTCATTCAACGGTGATTCCCCAGTTAATACTTGGGAATTCCCATTCACCTTTTAGTAATATGAAGGAACACTGCTAAGAGAACATTGTCTGAGAATTTCAGACTGCTTAACTCGATGACGTCAACCAACGAATAATGTTACTGAATAATGAGTGAAACTGATTATACCACTTTACGTGACCCCAATCTTTACAAGGCATTTGGTAAGTTATTATAAGTCTAGCACTTTGTTTGACTATCTGGGATGCAATTATAATTTGCAAAATAAACTTTTGGAGGAACTTTCTTTGTACCTGGTGTTTATATTGATTAGTTGGAAGAATGTTCATGGTTTTGAAGCCTGCACATGTATACTTAATACCTCTGACTGCGAATACCTTGAGGCACAGTTCATTCCTGTCAATAGAAGACTTGTGTCGATATGGAAAGAAAATAAGTTAAATGGATATCTCCCCTAAAATAACATAGACAATCTGTACTGGTTTTCTGTTTATAATCTGAGATTATACTTAATGTTAGAACAGTTAATTACACAACTATACAGAAATTTATGCTTATTCACATAACTAAGCAGACCACATACTTATGTTTCTCAATTAATGCTTTAATGCAATCAATTAGGTGTTGACCTAAGTCAACATACTTTAGTAGGTAAGCATTTACCATAGATTTACGTGTTCATGACGTTCTAATTTACACTATTCTGTAATAATGCAACAGTAATGCTTATGGTAACATTTTATAAAGACGACAGTTAATAAAGGGCAAAGGCTATACATGCCATGTCAAGTATCAATAGTCAAAGTTCTGAAATCGTTGACATCAAATCGAGCTCTTCGTATCTTTCACTGAAAGAAAAGTAGAACCAATTTTCAGGGTCATTATCATTATGCATTGTATCTTCTTCTGTGTTGTCAACGAGATGGCTGACGACGAGCTGCAATGATTGAAAATCCATTCGATCAAAGATTGAACTTATCTCTTCATCCGAAAACATGTCTTCTTCTCTGTTGTTAACGAGAAGGCTATCGTCGAGCTGCATAGCTTCAGAATGTGGTTCTCCTTGATGGTACGGTTCGATCTCACTTGTCTGGTTGCGATAACTCCCGTCACCAGTTTGTTCAAGAGAACTGAAAACATTGCGTTGATTAGGTTCCCCAACAAATACACTGATATTTTGTGTCATTTTAGCGACATTTATTTCTTGATCCACTGGATTCCTTCAAAGGAACAAATTTCTGTACCGAATACATTTCGATCAAAGATTAAACTTATCTCTTCATCCGGAAACAGGTCTTCTTCTCTCTTTCTAACGAGAAGGCTATCGCCGAGCTGCGTAGCTTCATAATCTGTTTCTCCTTGATGGTACGGTTTGATCTCACTTGTCTGGTTGCGATAACTCCGGTCATAAGTTTGTTCAAGCGAACTGAAAACATTGCGTTGACTACGTTCACCAACAAATACACTGATATTTTGTGTCGTTTTAGCGACATTTATTTCTTGATCCACTGGATTCACTTCAAAGGAACAATTTTCTGTACCAAATACATTTCGATCAAAGATTGAACTTATCTCTTCATCCGGAAACAGGTCTTCTTCTCTGTTGTTAACGAGAAGGCTATCGTCCAGCTGCATAGCTTGAAAATCTGGTTCTCCTTGATGGTACGGTTCGATCTCACTTGTCTGGTTGCGATAACTCCCGTCACCAGTTTGTTCAAACGAACTGAAAACATTGCGTTGACTACGTTCACCAACAAATACACTGATATTTTGTGTCGTTTTAGCGACATTTATTTCTTGATCCACTGGATTCACTTCAAAGGAACAATTTTCTGTACCGAATACATTTCGATCAAAGATTGAACTTATCTCTTTATCCGGAAACATGTCTTCTTCTCTGTTGTTAACCAGAATGACAACCTTCTCGAGGGAACCTCCTCTTGATGAGTGTAATCGCTCATGACTAACTCTATAAAGAATCAGATGTCAAACAATTTCATGAATTTGCAACAAGACACTCAACATTTTAAAAAATTTATAGCCTACTGCTCTCCATGATATTTTTTTAAATTGATTACAGAGTCACAAAACTCGTTCTTAAGATAATATCATTTTCAGATCTTAACATGAAAGAGATTTTATTAGACCTCATAAATGACCTCATAAAACATGAATGACGTCATGACATACATGTTTTGTTAAATATTATGTGTTCACATTGCTCGTGAAGATAATTCGTGCACGAAGTTTCAACTTATGGAAACTGTCCTTTCTATTATTCTGGATGACAAACAGTAACTAAAAAAGATTCATCATTGACAATTCATAAAAATCAAACTCTTGAATCGCGTGTATTTTACATCATGTCGTATGATTTCTGCATGACCGAAATTAGAAAATATTTGTCATCGATTGATTCCCACAGTATAACAAAATCGAAAGATCGCAGTGATCTTCCCACCAAAATTTTCAAAACTAAAGACAATTTGGGTATCAAAAGTCAACATGTATTTTCGCTGATGTTTTGCTCATAAAGTAAGCGTCGAAATATAAGCAACTGACAAAGACAATGGCGAAGACTTCTGTTGCAAAGAATTAGTCTTAGTCAGAGTGTTAGTATTACTGATATCAGCAAAACAACGCGCTACAAGCTAACACATAGAACATGAAGGTATAAGAATGTCGTAAACTACATATATACCATAATATCAATAATACGTTTGATTTTATAGCTCAAATGCTCATGGTCAAATACTGAGGAGCTTGGTGATGTAAATCTAACTGTTTCAATTGCGGCCTTACGCTGCACTTCTCAGTATAAAACTGACTTTAAAGATGAATATCTTCCTATTTAATAGAAAATGGTGATTTATATATTTAAAGTTGGTCAAATTAGTTTGTCGTATTGTAGAAAATCAAGGTCAATTGCTGTCGATTTAAGGTAGCAACAAACAAAATATTTTAGCCCAAAATCATCAGCGAAATAGATGAGTTTCCATGTAAAAGAATTTTACGAATTATAATATGTTAACCTCCATATTTGTTTGTGACGGCATTAAACCATTAGGAATACATCATAGCGAATGTTTGCGGAAATAACATTTAAAATTTATAGTTTGCGACAAATAGGCATTTGAATTTATGAGTTCGATTCGATATGTTTTAAGTCACTGAAATCCAAGCAGTCTTCTACAGTTATTAAACAAGATTTACCTTTTGTTGAAAATATTAAGCACGATCTTCTCGACCACAATCTGTAACAATATATTGACGCCTATCCACGGAAATAATGTGCGCAACTTATGATCTATATGTGACAAAGAGAAATTCGACGTTGAGAGTTTAATTTCATGTTCATTCAGATAGCTAATACTTATTAAAACGAGATTTACCTTGTTTTCGAATTCCTGTGTTTCGCACTATCTTCTCAAAATTGCTGCTTGACGTCTTCCTCACCATAAGTGATAAGCAGCAACTGAATGACGAACAAACAATAAATTCCATGTATTTGGTAAACCAATAAATTTATTAGAAAATGAAAGCATTGATCACGTGAAAATGTCATATGATCTCTGCGTGACTAGAAATAAAAGATTAAATTTCATATCCGTAGAATCGTAGTGTTTCTACCAATAATTGAATTAAATTTGTTAAATTCGACAGACAAATGTCTTATTTTATCAGATGTAACATTACAAGGAAAGATGTCAATACAAAGTAAGACTTACCACGGTACAAGCAATTTTCTCATTCAACGGTGATTCCCCAGTTAATACTTGGGAATTCCCATTCACCTTTTTTAGTAATATGAAGGAACACTGCTAAGAGAACATTGTCTGAGAATTTCAGACTGCTTAACTCGATGACGTCAACCAACGAATAATGTTACTGAATAATGAGTGAAACTGATTATACCACTTTACGTGACCCCAATCTTTACAAGGCATTTGGTAAGTTATTATAAGTCTAGCACTTTGTTTGACTATCTGGGATGCAATTATAATTTGCAAAATAAACTTTTGGAGGAACTTTCTTTGTACCTGGTGTTTATATTGATTAGTTGGAAGAATGTTCATGGTTTTGAAGCCTGCACATGTATACTTAATACCTCTGACTGCGAATACCTTGAGGCACAGTTCATTCCTGTCAATAGAAGACTTGTGTCGATATGGAAAGAAAATAAGTTAAATGGATATCTCCCCTAAAATAACATAGACAATCTGTACTGGTTTTCTGTTTATAATCTGAGATTATACTTAATGTTAGAACAGTTAATTACACAACTATACAGAAATTTATGCTTATTCACATAACTAAGCAGACCACATACTTATGTTTCTCAATTAATGCTTTAATGCAATCAATTAGGTGTTGACCTAAGTCAACATACTTTAGTAGGTAAGCATTTACCATAGATTTACGTGTTCATGACGTTCTAATTTACACTATTCTGTAATAATGCAACAGTAATGCTTATGGTAACATTTTATAAAGACGACAGTTAATAAAGGGCAAAGGCTATACATGCCATGTCAAGTATCAATAGTCAAAGTTCTGAAATCGTTGACATCAAATCGAGCTCTTCGTATCTTTCACTGAAAGAAAAGTAGAACCAATTTTCAGGGTCATTATCATTATGCATCGTATCTTCTTCTGTGTTGTCAACGAGATGGCTGACGACGAGCTGCAATGATTGAAAATCCATTCGATCAAAGATTGAACTTATCTCTTCATCCGAAAACATGTCTTCTTCTCTGTTGTTAACGAGAAGGCTATCGTCGAGCTGCATAGCTTCAGAATGTGGTTCTCCTTGATGGTACGGTTCGATCTCACTTGTCTGGTTGCGATAACTCCCGTCACCAGTTTGTTCAAGAGAACTGAAAACATTGCGTTGATTAGGTTCCCCAACAAATACACTGATATTTTGTGTCATTTTAGCGACATTTATTTCTTGATCCACTGGATTCCTTCAAAGGAACAAATTTCTGTACCGAATACATTTCGATCAAAGATTAAACTTATCTCTTCATCCGGAAACAGGTCTTCTTCTCTTTCTAACGAGAAGGCTATCGCCGAGCTGCATAGCTTCATAATCTGGTTCTCCTTGATGGTACGGTTTGATCTCACTTGTCTGGTTGCGATAACTCCGGTCACCAGTTTGTTCAAGCGAACTGAAAACATTGCGTTGACTACGTTCACCAACAAATACACTGATATTTTGTGTCGTTTTAGCGACATTTATTTCTTGATCCACTGGATTCCTTCAAGGAACAAATTTCTGTACCGAATACATTTCGATCAAAGATTAAACTTATCTCTTCATCCGGAAACAGGTTCTAACGAGAAGGCTATCGCCGAGCTGCATAGCTTCATAATCTGGTTCTCCTTGATGGTACGGTTTGATCTCACTTGTCTGGTTGCGATAACTCCGGAGTTTGTTCAAGCGAACTGAAAACATTGCGTTGACTACGTTCACCAACAAATACACTGATATTTTGTGTCGTTTTAGCGACATTTATTTCTTGATCCACTGGATTCACTTCAAAGGAACAATTTTCTGTACCAAATACATTTCGATCAAAGATTGAACTTATCTCTTCATCCGGAAACAGGTCTTCTTCTCTGTTGTTAACGAGAAGGCTATCGTCCAGCTGCATAGCTTGAAAATCTGGTTCTCCTTGATGGTACGGTTTGATCTCACTTGTCTGGTTGCGATAACTCCGTCACCAGTTTGTTCAAACGAACTGAAAACATTGCGTTGACTACGTTCACCAACAAATACACTGATATTTTGTGTCGTTTTAGCGACATTTATTTCTTGATCCACTGGATTCCTTCAAAGGAACAAATTTCTGTACCGAATACATTTCGATCAAAGATTAAACTTATCTCTTCATCCGGAAACAGGTCTTCTTCTCTTTCTAACGAGAAGGCTATCGCCGAGCTGCGTAGCTTCATAATCTGTTTCTCCTTGATGGTACGGTTTGATCTCACTTGTCTGGTTGCGATAACTCCGGTCATAAGTTTGTTCAAGCGAACTGAAAACATTGCGTTGACTACGTTCACCAACAAATACACTGATATTTTGTGTCGTTTTAGCGACATTTATTTCTTGATCCACTGGATTCACTTCAAAGGAACAATTTTCTGTACCAAATACATTTCGATCAAAGATTGAACTTATCTCTTCATCCGAAACAGGTCTTCTCTGTTGTTAACGAGAAGGCTATCGTCCAGCTGCATAGCTTGAAAATCTGGTTCTCCTTGATGGTACGGTTCGATCTCACTTGTCTGGTTGCGATAACTCCCGTCACCAGTTTGTTCAAACGAACTGAAAACATTGCGTTGACTACGTTCACCAACATACACTGATATTTTGTGTCGTTTTAGCGACATTTATTTCTTGATCCACTGATTCACTTCAAAGGAACAATTTTCTGTACCGAATACATTTCGATCAAAGATTGAACTTATCTCTTTATCCGGAAACATGTCTTCTCTGTTGTTAACCAGAATGACAACCTTCTCGAGGGGAACCTCCTCTTGATGAGTGTAATCGCTCATGACTAACTCTATAAAGAATCAGATGTCAAACAATTTCATGAATTTGCAACAAGACACTCAACATTTTAAAAAATTTATAGCCTACTGCTCTCCATGATATTTTTTTAAATTGATTACAGAGTCACAAAACTCGTTCTTAAGATAATATCATTTTCAGATCTTAACATGAAAGAGATTTTATTAGACCTCATAAATGACCTCATAAAAACATGAATGACGTCATGACATACATGTTTTGTTAAATATTATGTGTTCACATTGCTCGTGAAGATAATTCGTGCACGAAGTTTCAACTTATGGAAACTGTCCTTTCTATTATTCTGGATGACAAACAGTAACTAAAAAAGATTCATCATTGACAATTCATAAAAATCAAACTCTTGAATCGCGTGTATTTTTACATCATGTCGTATGATTTCTGCATGACCGAAATTAGAAAATATTTGTCATCGATTGATTCCCACAGTATAACAAAATCGAAAGATCGCAGTGATCTTCCCACCAAAATTTTCAAAACTAAAGACAATTTGGGTATCAAAAGTCAACATGTATTTTCGCTGATGTTTTGCTCATAAAGTAAGCGTCGAAATATAAGCAACTGACAAAGACAATGGCGAAGACTTCTGTTGCAAAGAATTAGTCTTAGTCAGAGTGTTAGTATTACTGATATCAGCAAAACAACGCGCTACAAGCTAACACATAGAACATGAAGGTATAAGAATGTCGTAAACTACATATATACCATAATATCAATAATACGTTTGATTTTATAGCTCAAATGCTCATGGTCAAATACTGAGGAGCTTGGTGATGTAAATCTAACTGTTTCAATTGCGGCCTTACGCTGCACTTCTCAGTATAAAACTGACTTTAAAGATGAATATCTTCCTATTTAATAGAAAATGGTGATTTATATATTTAAAGTTGGTCAAATTAGTTTGTCGTATTGTAGAAAATCAAGGTCAATTGCTGTCGATTTTAGGTAGCAACAAACAAAATATTTTAGCCCAAAATCATCAGCGAAATAGATGAGTTTCCATGTAAAAGAATTTTACGAATTATAATATGTTAACCTCCATATTTGTTTGTGACGGCATTAAACCATTAGGAATACATCATAGCGAATGTTTGCGGAAATAACATTTAAAATTTATAGTTTGCGACAAATAGGCATTTGAATTTATGACTTCGATTCGATATGTTTTAAGTCACTGAAATCCAAGCAGTCTTCTACAGTTATTAAACAAGATTTACCTTTTGTTGAAAATATTAAGCACGATCTTCTCGACCACAATCTGTAACAATATATTGACGCCTATCCACGGAAATAATGTGCGCAACTTATGATCTATATGTGACAAAGAGAAATTCGACGTTGATAGTTTAATTTCATGTTCATTCAGATAGCTAATACTTATTAAAACGAGATTTACCTTGTTTTCGAATTCCTGTGTTTCGCACTATCTTCTCAAAATTGCTGCTTGACGTCTTCCTCACCATAAGTGATAAGCAGCAACTGAATGACGAACAAACAATAAATTCCATGTATTTGGTAAACCAATAAATTTATTAGAAAATGAAAGCATTGATCACGTGAAAATGTCATATGATCTCTGCGTGACTAGAAATAATAAAAGATTAAATTTCATATCCGTAGAATCGTAGTGTTTCTACCAATAATTGAATTAAATTTGTTAAATTCGACAGACAAATGTCTTATTTTATCAGATGTAACATTACAAGGAAAGATGTCAATACAAAGTAAGACTTACCACGGTACAAGCAATTTTCTCATTCAACGGTGATTCCCCAGTTAATACTTGGGAATTCCCATTCACCTTTTTTAGTAATATGAAGGAACACTGCTAAGAGAACATTGTCTGAGAATTTCAGACTGCTTAACTCGATGACGTCAACCAACGAATAATGTTACTGAATAATGAGTGAAACTGATTATACCACTTTACGTGACCCCAATCTTTACAAGGCATTTGGTAAGTTATTATAAGTCTAGCACTTTGTTTGACTATCTGGGATGCAATTATAATTTGCAAAATAAACTTTTGGAGGAACTTTCTTTGTACCTGGTGTTTATATTGATTAGTTGGAAGAATGTTCATGGTTTTGAAGCCTGCACATGTATACTTAATACCTCTGACTGCGAATACCTTGAGGCACAGTTCATTCCTGTCAATAGAAGACTTGTGTCGATATGGAAAGAAAATAAGTTAAATGGATATCTCCCCTAAAATAACATAGACAATCTGTACTGGTTTTCTGTTTATAATCTGAGATTATACTTAATGTTAGAACAGTTAATTACACAACTATACAGAAATTTATGCTTATTCACATAACTAAGCAGACCACATACTTATGTTTCTCAATTAAT